GCCTTCAGAGCAGACTGGAAGGAATTGTTGTGTTCACTGCAGGGTGAAAGAAGGCAAGCAAACAGATGCTGGAGTACAATTATGAAAAAGACCTGACTGTAGCAGGGCTAATGATTTTGTAATTTCCCAGCCTGTACTAACTGATGTCTTTCAAATGAAGAAAGACCAGACTGGTTGATGTACAATTTGGAAAGTTCAACCTGCACCAAAGAATACTGAATATGCTCAATCTTGCTTGATGGAGTTATGTCAGCTCAGAGGTTGGAGAAACAGACTCTTAACTCAGTGTGTCAGGTTACAGATGTCACCATCAACAAGTGCATATGAATAAACTCATTCAGTTTCTTATTAACGACATTCCCTCTACTAGAGAAGGCCTTCTCCTTTTCAAATTCAATATAGCTAGGTTTTTAGCTTAAAAAGACACTATTTTAGTCAGTTTTAAATATCACTTGGTTTTTGTTTTAAACATTTTCTTTAAATGTTTAGCATTTTCCCTATTTGTTTATGTTCTCTAATATTTCTAGGTCATTAATAGTTTCATTCCTTTCCTCTCAAGTCCTGTTTATTTATTTCTATTAAAGGCAATGCCTGCTGTGGCTTAGACTTGCCTCATGATATGTAATTGAAAGTTGCTTTGAACACCTCCTCCTGCCTCTGCTGCCCAGTGCTGAGAAGACAGTCCTGCAACTGCTGCCAGACTGGGCCTTGAGAGCTCAGTGAGAAGGAAAAATGGAGTAGTTAGTTAATGAGTGTCGGCCAGTGTCTCTGGCTTTTTGGGGGGACATGAAAATGAAGAGGGACCTGTGTAGGAGTTGAGTTCACTGACTGTCAATGAAGCTGATGTAGTAGCTAGCTCTGTCTTAATTATTAAGCAGTTTCTATGGTTTCTGCTTACCAGAGAATGTCAGGACTTGTTTCTCCTTTGGTGGCTACATGATATCTCTTCTCTTCCTCTCCCTGCCTTCCTTTCCCAGAATTTTCCTCTTCTCCTAGTCCTGCCTATCTTTCTGCCTCTATTGGCCTAACAGTGTTGTATTCATCAACAAATAAGAGAACCATATATACAGGAGGACATCCCCTATCATCTCCTCTATTACTGTCTAAATAAAAGGAAAATATTTAACTTTAGCATAGTATAATTATATATAACAAATCAGTTATCAAATAAAAACTATAGTTAACAATATTTAGTCTGTTAACATTTGGCAAAATTTAAAAAAATATTCTATCATCTACCCTATCTTTGTGAGTCTAAAGTTTTAAATGTAACTTATCTTTTATCATAACTAAGGAAAACCATAACTATCTGTCTTCAACTCCACCAAAGACCTCAGAAGGCTGATATATAAACTCTAGAACTGACATCTTGCTGCCTAGATATCCAAATTTCCTCTGTAATTTCTTAACATCCATCTTCAGCCCATAGGCCATAGTGTATCTGGCACACTTCTCAGTGAAACAGGAAAATTGAAACTGTCCTGCCTCTATTGGCAGATTGTCAGTCATTTTTCTGTGTGTCCTGCAAAATGTCTGGCAGACTCTTCATGAAACAGGAACCCTTCAAGACTGTCCCATCTTGTTTTGCAAGTTCAGCAGTCACTTTCCTGTGGGTCCTGCATGTTTACATTATATAGCATACAGTCAAACAGTCTAGGAAAGAGCAGTTTCTTGCCCAAATGGCTAGTCTTGCTGTATCAAAAGCAATCTCCATAACAAGTTCCTTTGATGCCCATCTTTCTCTCTGACATGATTGGTATTGGCCAGGAGCATTTGCATCTCATTGTCAAGAAAAACCATAAACCATAGTAAATGCCATGTTTTATAGGTCTTTAAAAGGTTTAAAGAACATCTATCCACTTGAAATATATCTAGAAAATATAACTAACATAAGTTTTGACTATTATAGGTAACTATCTATGATCTGTACTTACTTATACATTTTAATGAGCTGTATAAATACAATATCTAAACAAGTGTAAAATTGTACCTTTAACAAATTTACCTAAATTTGTATCAATAAATCAAAATCAATACCAATGCAAAGTATTCATTTCTATATCATATTTCCCTTTTTTCTTTTAAAAAGCGATTGGCTGTGGTCACTAACCATTTACAACCAACACCATTTAAATAAAAAAAAACAATACTTGGGAATGTGAGTATTGTTCTCTCTAAACTGCTTCCTGCTGTTTGTGGTCACTGAAAATACCATGGTGGGATCCTGAGAAAACTCAGAAACCTGGCCAAATCCTGGCTGTAGTAGTCTGCAAGGCTGCATGGCCTCAGCTGTTTTGGATGTTGGATCACCTGGGCCACTGCTTCAGCGAGTCTTGCTTGATCAAACCAAATTAGTCTAGAAGGAATTCAAAGCTTTTCATTATCTGTGGAAACAAAAACAGAACCCCTTTTACAAAGCAACTTGTCCTTAGACTTAAATTTTGAAGTCAAGGCATTTTAAAAATATATAGATTGGATTAATCCAGCAACACTTATTATCAAATGTCTTTTAACAGCTGTTGCCCTTCCCTCAGAGACCAAACAATTCAAAGCCAAAGTCCATTCAGATAACAGGGATAAGTACTGATCTACTATCAGATTACCAAGGTCTCCCCACTGTACACACATTCAGGGGATCTGGGTCAGTCCAATGCTGGTTTCTGAGCCATCAGTCTGGGTCCATGAGTTTCCCCTTGTTCAGGGCAGTGTTTCTGTGGATTTCACCAGCCTGGTCTTGACCCCTTTGGTCTTCACTCCTCCGTCTCTGAAACTGGGTTTCCAGGAATTCAAAAATTCAGTGTTTAGCTGTGGGTGTCTGCCTCTGCTTCCATCAGCCACTGGATGAAGGCTTTAGGATGGCATACAAGGTAGTCATTATCTGGGAAGGGCATTGAATCTATTGCTTAGATTGCCAGTTTGTGTCATTATTGTAGATCTGTGGAAATCTTCCCATCACTGTGTACTTTTTTGGTTAGAAAATGTTTTCACTATGAATTCTTTGATACTATTTTTTTCTGAGACTTTGAGCTGAGATTCTTCTCTTTGTGTTCTGTTTTGTTTGGTTTAGTCATTTCATAGTGTTCTAGATTTCCTGGATGTTATGTTTCAGGAAATTTTTAGTTTTAAACTTTTCTTTGTCAATGTAGGTATTTCTTCTTTCATACCTTCAAAGACTGAAATTCTGTTTTATGTCTTGGATTCTTTTGGTGAAGCTTGCCTCTGTATGTCCTGTTTGATTATCTAGATTTTCATTACCAGAATCCATTAAGTTTGCATGTTTCAGTGGCAATTATTTCCCTTTTCAGGTCTTGAAGAGATTCATTCATTTCCTTCAACTGATTGTTTTTTTAATGAGATTTTATTATTCTTTCACTGCTTTCTTTAAGGATTTATTCACTTCCTTTTTCAGGTCTATCATCTTTATAAAATTGATGTTAACCCAATTGTGCTTCATCTGTGTTGGAATATTCATGACTTGGTGCAGTAGGATAGCTAGAATCTGATAGCAACATTACTCTGGTTGTTGCTGATTTTGTTCTTATGCTGGTTTTAAGCTGATTGTGGCTCTATATGTCTATTTCTCAGTTTGTCTTTGTTGGATGGGTCTTTTATTCCTTGGTTTCTATTTCCTCTCTGATCTTCTGTTCTGGGTCGTCTATGCTCTGCTGGTGAGCATCTCATCTCCTCTGTCTTGGAGAGAAATGCAATCTGACCAGCCTGAAGTAAAGAACCTTTTTCCTTTGCATCAGAACTGTCAATTCCTTAGGTTGGTCTCTGGGAACCCGTAAACCTGGCACAACAGTATTATGCTTTGTTCTCTGTCAAAATATCTCCCAGATTCCATATGGTATTTCCACACCATACAGGCTAATGCTTTAAAATAAGGATTTAACACTTTGGCTGGGGAAACAGCATGAACTTCCCATGGTTTTGTATTGTGAATATAACATCTGCTGATGCCAGACTATACTTTCTAACACTAGACCTTGTTACCTTCCTTAGTCAACCCCCCAGGTGAATTGGGATCACTATTTTCTTTTAGAACCTTTTTTAAAGGACACAACCATTGAATATTTCCCAACAATTTTTGAAAAATCGCTTAAAAGATTGTCAGATTGTAAGTTATCTTTTTTAATTTTTTAAATTGAGGTTTAATTTTTATTAGACTATAACATATGTCCCAAGTATGGTTTAATTTTTATTAGTATATAACAAATGTCCCAAATAACTTGAAAAATCACTCAAAATTTGCAAGTAGTCTTTTTGGATCCAACCATTAAGCCTCTCACTAGCTGACAAGGCCTCATTTGCATCTTAGCTGACATGCTCTAATTTGCATTTACACAGACACCTTTGTGGGTGGGGCCTGACGAAGAGGCAGTTCTTTGAAAAAACTTTTTTTTAAATCACGTATTAACTTTATTTGCTAGATTATCTTTTTTGTTAACCATAAAAAATTTAGGAGGATCTCTGTATCCTCTCGTTTTAAACTTCATAGAATAATCCATACATATTTTCTTGGCTCCTAGGCTATGCCGTAAGCTTCTGGTGTTTTCTATTGATTGGCTCTGAAGGCTTAAATCTTTCATCTTTCCTGTTAAGACACTGACCTGACTGGCTGGATGCTGCTTTTGGCCCTATCTAAAGCAATTTAGGTAGCTTTTTAACTATATTCAAAGTGATTTAAGTATCCTTTTAATCATATCCAAGGCAACTAGAACAGTTGCTTTCATCAACATTCACGCATTTACACGTCACATTCCATATATACTGGCATGACCACGCCTATACACCCAGATCATATACACATCTCTTTCATCTATCCTCTTGCTTAGGTTCTTAATTGAAGTCTCTTGCTATAGCCATATAGTTGAATTATGAGCATCCAAAATCTGAACAAATCCAAATTTATCCATGTAGTCTTTTTTCTATAAGGTCTTAAAACAGTTTCTGACTGGCTGTATTAATAGCATTTCTATACATTTGTCTGGGCGTCAGCCATGGCAGCAGCTCTCAAGGCTGTGAGCTGCCTAGGCTCTGGCTCTGACCTTCCTCGCCCCTGGCCTTTGGGCCTGGGCTGGCCTCCTGTAGGTTACCTGCTGCCGTTTTTCTCTCCTGCACCCTGGACTTTTTTAAGTTCCTGCCAGTCTGACATCCGAACAAACCTTTAACAGACTCATTTGTGCCGCCTTCCTTTCTACAAGGTCTTAGCATGGCCTGGCATGCGGTATTAGCATTTTCATAAGCTAGCTGTCTCAATCAAAAGGTTCATACCTGTACTCCCCTTAGATGATGTTTGTATTAGCCTATAGACAAAATTTTGAACTAACTCCTTAGTTCCTTGCTTGCTTTTTCCAAAACCTCCAGCCCGAGTCCTGGTGGCTGAAAGTCTGTTTTGAGTTCTCCTGGCTGCTGGGCTAATCTGCCCGTACCTTGCTATCAAGAGTTAGCTGCTGATCTATATCTTTGTATTGCCCTTCCTCAACGAGCACTTTATAACAAAAGGGAAGGTTTGGGGCTCTCTCTTTTTTGTTTTGTTTTGTTTGTTGCTTCCCCAGCACTAACCTATACTGGAGACACCGACCTGCCAGCTGCCGGCCATGACCCGAGGGGTGCCTTCCCCTAGGCTGATCTATGCTTGCTTCTTCCTTTGACAAAGGAACATTTCTATGATCTGAGGAACCTTGAAAAGTTCTTATCTCTCGTGAGAGTGATTTTGCTAAATCTTTCAAGTCTCCTACCTTTGCTGAATTTTACCACTAGGTTTCTGCCTCTCTGTGTTTCTAGTTAAAAATGAGGGACGTGAAGACTCTTGTCCTGATACTTAATAACTTTCTTTTTATAATCATTTTAATCTCTCTGCCTGTATGTTCTTTTTGGTCTGGCCCCTCCTCAGTAGGTGTGGAGGTCTCCGCTAACCGCTTCAGAGGAAAATAATTTCCTGTTGTTCTGCAAGTATGCGAGGTAGCACCTTCGCTTCCCTAAAAATTGGCGCAGCATCTTTGATACTGCTGCAGCAGTGGCGTCTGTGAGAGGGGAAGGAGTCTTTTAAAACTTTTAAATTCCAAAATCCTCCGCAGTTTTGCTTCAGTTTAGCTCTCCTGGCTATCAAAACACACACAAGTAAATATACAATCATCTGAACAACAATTTTTGTCTTATACATTCCCTTAATAATCTTAAAGGCAGTCACCACCTTTTATTTATTTATCTGTTTATTTATTTCGCGTCCCCTAGGGACAAACATCTCCCCTATAAGTTACAACCTCCATGTTCCTTGTAAGAATTGTTTAAGACCCTTCTTTTTTACACTAATTCCTTGTATCTTGAGGGCTTCCTTGAGCCCGAAAATAGAGACTTTTGAGAGGATACCTGTCCCATCACTTACATTGGCTGTAATAATTGCACCATTGCTCACCACCATCCGTCTTGCTCTTTTCGCGAAGATAGGTACAGAACTGGATTGAATGCATAACTCTTTGTAGGAACTTCAGTAAAAGCCTCTGACTTCCTTTTCTCCTTTGTATTTCTTTGACTGATTGTTTCATGGGAGACAATATGTACTTCTGTCTGTCCTGGAGACCTGATTGCATAGACTAGGCTGACATTCAACTCAGAGGCAAATGTACCTGCCTCTGTCTTCTGAGTGCTGGTGGTAAAGGTGTTGGCCAATACACCCAGTTTGTCCATCTTACTTTCCTTTTTATAGGTAGTAATTGTTCATGCAGTTCTCTCATATGTACTCTTTACTGTTGATCTGTCTAATTCTCTCTTTCTGATTGTTAATAGGCATTTCTCTTGCAAGGTGATATCCTGTTCAAAGGATACTAAAATGACAGAGGTGACCATGCTATTCACTTTCCTTCTAAAGTGACTTGGTGATTACATTATAATGTCTGTATAATAGAATAAGTATGGAGTGCATAAGAATTATATGACTATGCTGTCAAAGAAGTATACATTTACAATATTGCAAATATCATGTTTTCTGTTGTACATATGTCCGGGATATTTTAGAATTCAGTGACCTATGATGATGTGCATGTTGCCTTCACTTGGGAAGAGTGGACTTTGCTGGACTCTTCCCAGAAGAATCTCTACCAAAATGTGATGTTTGAGACCTACATGAACCTCACTACTATAGGTAAGACCGAATTTTCATGCCCATTTTAAAATGAAGGGACAACTATCCCTTGGTTATTAATATTCTTCTGTGATTTGATTGAGTAAGAAGAATAAGGTCATAAGTCAGTCATGGTTTTATGGTTAATTGAAGACAGTAAATTCAATCTTACTTAATTTTCAGTAATATATACTTTCTTGTACTATATTTCTTGTACTTTATTTTAGGATACAAATGGGAAGACCATAATATGGAAGAACACTGTCAAAGTTCTAAAAGACATGAAAGGTAATTTTTCAAGTGCATGATGATACAAATGTGCCTCTCAAAAATTTTTATGTGTCCTTGAAATTTTAAACAAAAGCAAGAGTGGAAATAAGCACAGCTTAAAGTACAGTGATTATTATTAAATTCTAAAACTGTAAACTTCAATTTCAGGTTGGTTGAATTGCATTTGCAAGGCAATCTTTTAAGGAAGATGACAGGGAAATAATGCTGTAATAGATATCACCATTTTAATCACAGCACCATGATTGTAGAACAGTCAATCCATTTATTTCATACTACTCATATTACAAAATGTATATTCATTGAGGAGATAATAACTATATCTCCAATACCTTCTAATAAGCAAATAGTCTATAGTAAACCTAGTGTTACTCATAAACTTGTTGTGACTATGCTAATGTTAAGTTTAGTGGGAGAAGCAATTCTGGTCTTGAATCAAGGGATACTTGTTGAGGAGAAACCTTAATCCCTATACGACAAGTCTATGAGGAACATAAATTCAAACTGGGTGAATTCAATGTGGAAACTTTTATTAGTTATTCTTCCTCTACAAGGTGTAACATATGTTACTCTGCTTATAAGCCATATAAACATCGTATACAGAAAGGCATCACATACCTGTATCTCAGAAAAAATTATAAGATAAGTATCAGTCTTCCCATTGAGTATGTATTTGATTCAATATATAAGTAATTAATTTTTCAGCTTCACTTCAACATACCCACACTGCAGAAAAGCCCTGCGGGTACTACGACAGTGTAAATACTCTGTCCTAGTTCATTTAGCAAATATAGTCTGACTCACACTATAAGAGAATTTATGAATGCAATAATGGTGGTGAAGATCTGAATTTTTCCAGTTCTCTTCAAATATGTAAAAAGTCTCCCATAGTAAAAAAGATTCTGTAAATGTGAAGCATGTAATAAAGGATATTACAATGAGAGGTATCATCATAGATGCAAAACAACCCTACAAGAAAGGGAACAGCATGAGTGTAAACACAGTGATAAAATCTTGAGATTTGATAACCTCTTTGAAATTGAACCAAATTGTAAAATTAATTCAGCCAGACATAAAGATTCAACAGTGTGTTGAATGTGGTAAAGCTGTTACATGTGCCAATTATCCTTGCAGGCATGAAGAAAGACAAACTGGAGAGAAGCCTTCTGTATATACTCAGTGTGCTAAAGCCTTTGCATATGGCAGTCATCTTCAAGGGCATGAAAGAACACATACTGGAGACAAACCCTATCAATGTAATCAATGTGGTAAAGTCTTTGCACATCAAAGAAATCTTCAAGTCCATAAAAGAACACACACTGGAGAGAAACCCTATGAATGTGATCAGTGTGGTAAAGCCTTGTCTCATCACAGTACTCTTCAAATGCATAAAAAAATAATACATACCAGAGATAAACCCTATGAATGTAATCAGTGTAGTAAAACTTTTGCATGTCATAGTCATCTTCAAGTACATAAAAGAACACATACTGGAGAGAAACCCTATGAATGTAATCAGTGTGGTAAAGCCTTTTCTCATCACAGTTCTTTTCAAAAGCACAAAAGAACACATACTGGAGAGAAACCCTATGAATGTGATCAGTGTGGTAAAGCTTTTGCATGTCACAGTCATCTTCAAGTGCATAAAAGAACACACACTGGAGAGAAACCTTACGAATGTGATCAGTGTGGTAAAGCCTTTTCTTATCATAGTACTCTTCAAATTCATAAAAGAACACATACTGGAGAAAAGCCCTGTGTATGTGATCAGTGTGGTAAAGCCTTTTCTCAGCATAGTACTCTTCAAAAGCATAAAAGAACACATACCAGAGATAAACCCTATGAATGTAATCAGTGTAGTAAAACTTTTGCATGTCATAGTCATCTTCAAGCGCATACAAGAGCACACACTGGAGAGAAACCCTATGGATGTAATCAGTGTGGTAAAGCCTTTTCTCATCACAGTTCTCTTCAGATACATAAAAGAAAACATACTGGAGAGAAACCCTATGAATGTGGTCAGTGTGGGAAAGCTTTTGCACGTCATTGTCATCTTCAAGTGCATAAAAGAACACATACTGGAGAGAAACCCTATGAATGTAATCAGTGTGGCAAAGCCTTTTCTCATCACAGTTCTTTTCAAAAGCACAAAAGAACACATACTGGAGAGAAACCCTATGAATGTGATCAGTGTGGGAAAGCTTTTGCAAGTCATAGTCATCTTCAAGTGCATAAAAGAACACATACTGGAGAGAAACCCTATGTATGTGATCAGTGTGGCAAAGCCTTTTCTCAGCACTGTACTCTTAAAATGCATAAAAGAACACATACTAGAGAGAAACCCTATGGATGTAATCAGTGTGGCAAAGCCTTTTCTCAGCACTGTACTCTTAAAATGCATAAAAGAACACATACTAGAGAGAAACCCTATGGATGTAATCAGTGTGGTAAAGCTTTCATATGTGACAGTCAACTTCAAAGGCATAAAAGAACACATTCAACAGAGAAACCTGATGAATATAATAATTTTTTTCTTAGCCTATGCACTTATCAGTAGTCTTTGAAATCATACTTCACTGAAACCCTATAAAAATAGTCAGTGTGGTAAAGTTTTACCCTTTATATATACAGGAGTAAAACTTTTTTGTGTTCAGTCAATCTATTCAAGCTTTTGCATATTACAATAGTCTTTGAGTACCTGAAAAGTGTAGAAAGGGCTTCTTATTATAAAAAATTTGGTAAGGTCTTTAGCTAACACACAATCAATTTCAAAACAGTATTTATTCTGTAGGAAAAAAAATGAATGGTTTCAACAATCTGTTCAAGCATTATGCTGTCTGTTTTTATATTATTTGCACTAGCAAACTCATGAAAAAAAACAATTTGTGAACCCTGTGTGTAGGGTAAGTGGGCCAGCTGAAGAAACACATGCCGATCCTGCAAACAGCACCAGTGAAACACACAGACTGTGGTCCTGAAACTCGAGCAAAAGAAACACACTGCCCTTAAGCCAGAGCCAAAGAAACACTCTTTGCCCCTAATCCAGAGCCAGTCAAAGAAATGCTCTAGCCCTGAACCAGAGCCAAAATGTTAGAATGGACCAATGAAAGAAACACATCTTGTTCCTGAATCCAGAGCCAAGGAAATATATTCTACTTTTGACCAAGTAAGTGCAAACCAACTGATCACTGAGATTGAAACCAACCAAACTGTGAGCATGAAGTCCAGCCAGTCTTTGGGACTGGTTAGGCCCGGGCATTGAAATCCAACCAATTTCTACCCTGAAAATTTTATTCCTGGAAGATGTCCACCCCAAGAAGTTCTATGTAAGGCATGTGCTTGTTCAGTTGGCAGTTGCCTTTCCCACTCTGGCAAAGGCAGCCATTCCTTGCCAGCAAATCTCTGGAATGAATTTTGGGTGAAGACCTTACATGTGAGCTGATCAGAAACTTCCTTAGCAGGGCAGAGCAGAGAAACAATGAACACCTCTGTTGTCAAACTCCCTTAGGGGAACAGAGCAGAATGAACAACCTAGTCCCAGAGCCTGAGCAGACTGATAGATTTCTGCAGTGGTTTCTGCTATAGTTGAATGAAGCAGAGTAGGAACAGTTTGGGGTGGAGCTGAGGAAAAACATCCATCTCGCCAGGGAAACTCCCTTGGAGCAGAGCAGAGAGGCATGGATACCTCTTGGGAATCTCCCTGAGGGGAGTGGGGCAGGGCAGCAACAGACATCTCTGCTTGGAAACTCTTGCCTGTAGCTGTGATGGCTCTCTCTCAGAGAGGAGCAGGATTGCTATTCCCTGCAGGAGACCATCTCCCACTGGAACACAGCTTCATGCATAGGCTGGCATCTGCCAGTCAGGATTCCGTTCTCCTCACAACTGTAGGTATCCAATACCTATACTTCTAATCTGTAGGTATAGCCTGCCTCTTGACAGTCAGGGTACGGTTCCTTCCAGAGCTGTAACACTTGCACCATGAATTTAAAGGATAATGTAACCCTTTAGATTTTATACTTCTCTTCAATTGCTTGAAATATCTAATTCAGGTGTAAAAGTTTAGGGGTTTGTTTTAGTTTCTTATCTGTTCCTGTGATATAAGGTCTATGTCAACTTACAAGAATTTAATTTGGCCTTCCAAACATCATGCTCACTGGTACACCAGGGTCGGAAAGACCATTCTAGGCAAAGAACTTGCATCAAGATCAGGACTGAAGGACATGAATGTGGGTGATTTAAGTCTGATCACCGGATATCATGGAGTCTGGCAAGCTGGCTTCCCCCAAGAGCATGCTGAAAGGTACACAGATGATGGCACAGCTCCTGAAGGATATGGGGATTACAGGATATGAGCCGAGAGTTATAAATCAGATGTTGGAGTTTGCCTTCCGATGTGTGACCTCAATTCTAGATGATGCTAAAGTTTACTCAAGCCAAGCCAAGAAAGCTACTGTTGATGCAGATGATGTGCGATTGGCAATTCAGTGCCGTGCAGACCAGTCTTTCACCTCTCCTCCCCCGAGAGATTTGTATTCGTGCCGTGCGGACCAGTCTTTCACTTCTCCTCCCCCAAGAGATTTTTATTAGTGCCGTGCGGACCAGTCTTTCACTTCTCCTCCCCCAAGAGATTTTTATTAGGTACCGTGCAGACCAGTCTTTCACTTCTCCCCCAAGAGATTTTTATTAGGTATTGCAAGACAAAGACATCAAACCCCTTTGCCATTGATCAAGCCATGCTCAGGTCCTAGAGCGCCACCCGATAGGTACTGTGTAACTATAGGCTTAAGTCTTTGAAAAAGAAAAAAGGCATCTGCTCCTGCAGGAAGAATAACAGTTCCCAGGTTAAGTGTTGGTTCAGTTTCTAGCAGACCAAGTACTCCCACACTAGGCACACCAACTCCACAAACTGTGTCTGTCTCAACTAAAGTAGGCACTCCAGTGGCCCTCACAGGACAAAGGTTTACAGTCCAGATGCCTGCTTCTCAGTCCCCTGCTGTGAAAGCTTCAATTCCTGCAACATCAGCAGTTCAGAATGTTCTGATTAATCCATCACTGATTGGGTCCAAAAACATTCTTAACTACTACTAATACGGTATACCAAAATACAGCCAATGAGTCAGCAAATGCGCTGAAAAGAAAATGTGAAGATGATGATGTTGCTGCTGCTGCTGACTATGATAATTTGTAATCCAGTCTGGATGCTTGTAATATGTATACTTGGTCTTGAAGCCATTGTACTGAAATTACACAAGCATGTTAGATGCTTTAAAGCTGTATTTTAGAGAATGGTATTTAAGAAGTATACATACTATGCTTTTCAATTGAAATGTTCAGTTTTAATAGAACTGGTAATGGTTTCTCATCTACCTTTATGCATAAAAATAAAATTGTCATTTATCAATTTGGAAAAAAAATAATTTAATTTGGCATCTTGGTTCCAGAGGGATGCAGAATCACCATGAAAGTGGCATGGCAAGTAGTGTCAGAATGGAAGCTATAGCAGCAGGCTAAGAACTTACACCCTCAACCTGCAGCATGAAGCAGAGTGGGAACTGGAAATGGTGTTTGGATGCAAATTCTCAATGCCTACCCCCAGGGACATATTTCATCCAGAAGGGCATCATTTCCTAAATCTCCCCAAATGATACCATCAACTTAGACCTCAAGCCTATATGCTTGTTTTCAGTTACATATACCAATCCACAATGAAGAAAAACTCTGTAAGTAAGCTGTCAGATACCTCAACACCTGTGTTACAGGAATGAATGGTTACAATAGAAAAACTTTCATGATTGAAAAATTGTTTAGTGTGTTATTTTAATTGTAATTATGTACTGTCAGTGCGTGATTGAGTGGGTATGTGAAGGTGCATTCTGGTTCCTGACAACATTAGATCCTTGCCAGTTGGACCAGGATGTATCCCAGGTGCATGAGCTAGCTTGTTGGGGCCCATTTCCTATGAGGGGATGCCGTGTCAGCCTTAATGCAGGGGGGAGTGGCAATGCTTTGGTGTGTAGTGGGAAGGAAGGTTGGAACGCTGAAGGTCTGGTTTGTAGAAATTCTCAACTTGTCATTCCGCATTCAGTTACGTGTGACAAGGTTTGCAAACAGTTTAGAACTGGTATAAAGGAGGTAATGGGGGCTCATCCTTCAGAAATATTTGACTAGAGTGCATTTAGCTTCCCTCTACCACTAGCCACAATAGTACAATTCAGGGAAATTCAACCCCAGGGAGCAAAAGGAATTTCTGGGCTACAGAGGTTCCTTCAGTGTACATGGTGTTGTGCAGGTTAATAGGGCAGATTCCACATATTGTGCTATAATCCATGTGGCAGGATGCAGGATCTTTCAACGTGTGTGTGTGTGTGTGTGTGTGTGTATCAGTCAGACTGGGTTTGCTAGAAACTACAGTGGGTAATGAGGGAATGCATAACCATAGGAAATATTTCTGATCACCTCCATTTCCAGAGAGACCTCTAGAGTATGGGGCCTCTGTGTGTGGGAGAGACATCACTAGTAGCTGGAGGGTCAGAAATAGAGAAGTTTAGGGTTCACTTTGAGTTGCTTTTGTGAGATTTCTGAAGTCTTTATTTAATTTTTATACAGGCTCAATCATAGGTTCCATTAAGTTCACATTTTCCTGGTTGAGTTTTCTTAGGTCTTCTGATTTAAGTGTGACTATATTTCTTCTTTTGTTCTTGGCTTTTTCTCTGTACACCCTCATTTGTTCACAAATATTGTGCATATTCTTCATTTTTGTAGATTTATGTAAAGAACAAAATTATGTCAATGTGTACCAGTTTTTATTAATCCTGCTGAGAATTCTGTGTTTTTTCATGTGACACATAGCTTTGGAATCCGATTTACTGTTGTAATTTGTTGAAAAATTTCTATGGATAGTATTGAATTTATGCTGTAAGTTGAACATACCCGACGTCTTCATGATGTTGAATACACATCATTTTTTTTTATATTTTATTTTCCAGTTTAAATTTAGATAAGAAACGAGGTTGCTTCACAAGTCAGTTCAAGGTCCCTCTCCCATTCCCTCCCCTCCTCCCGTGCCCTCCCCCCAAACCCCCCCCCCCGTTATCCCCTCATTCCCCCAGGGAGGGTGAGGCCCTCCATGGGGGTGTCCATAGTCTGGAATACACATCATTTTAATACTATTGTTTGCAAAAGCGTAAAGGGCTAAAAGAAACTATTCCAAGTAGTCTTTGTTTAGCAAACTACAAAAAATGTGTGAAAGTGAAACAAATCTGAAACAATGTATGAAGACAGAAAGAGGACTGCAATGTAGTTTATTCACACAGAATACATTGTTATGTTCACATAGAAGATAGCCTAGTATGTATTATTTAATTGAAAAAGCAAAAAGAGTGAAAGTAAAACTTGCTCCAGAATGTAACAGTGAATCTGAACATGACATGTTATTGTGCAGAAGCATACAAAGTAATCTCTGATAGCAGTAGGTTGGGATTTTACAACAGATATGAATTAAAATTTGTTAAAATCATGATGTATTTTAATCATTGATATAAAATTACCCACATTTACTCTATGTATTCTGAGGCTCTTGGACATATTACCTACACCCAAGCAATCATATTACTACAAACAAAAGAGTAAACAACGTTCTCCAGACATTCTTCTTCTATCCCTGTGTTCATGTGTATCTATAGTATACAGTGTTCTCGTAAATTGGCAGAATTGCAATGGAGCCCATAAATCTCAGTATATTATCCATGCAATAAAGATTAGTATTAAAAAGTATCAGAATTCTCATGGCCATTATAGTCATGGTTGCCTGAATAGGAAAATAACTTAAA